TCGCTATAGGTAAAGCAAACGGTAAATCCAGTACATTTACTATAAAATAACAATCGGCTACACAAACAGATTGTGTGGGCTCCCTGTGCTGACACTTAACAATGTAATGATGAATGCCTGTTTGCCTCCTTTAAAATCGCGTCTCAGCGCCTTTTCGTTTTGCTTTGTTTATGTTTTTTTGTGCGTGATGACTCAGATCATTAGAGTTTACTTTTCCAGCTGTCTTTTTCTTTTGGACTTCTCAATGACAATTGATTTGACAGGGTATGTATTGCATAAGTTAAGACATTCCGATGTAGCCACAGTGCTTCGCGAGTTAACCTGCCATGTATAAGAGTGAGGGAGGTGGGGGAGTGGGTACTCCCATACATGGGTTAGACAAATATGTGCCGCCCGGTGACATTGTGTTCCTGATTATATTTAGATAGGGTATTTAAATCGAACAGCTTATAGCCTGTGTAGCATGGCGGTTTTGGTCAGGCGCGCAAACAAAAATTAGTCGTTGTTTCATAATTATTCGCTCATTTGTTAAAGTAGACAAAAGTGTTTACAATACCGCTAACAAGAACGCCTCGATACTGATACATACTAATCAAATCCTTCTTTCTAGCAATCGGCTAGAGCTATCTCCATGATCTTCCGCACTTCGTTTTCTACAGATAACGGCCGAACATCAGGATTGTCCAGTTTTTACTGTATTTCTAACCACAAAAACTTCATCCTAGGATATCTAGATTACGTTCTCATAGATTTCGCTTAAACGTCACGAACATCGAGGAGGCTATTATTAGAGAAAAAAAGCCCCCGTGAACGATTTTGGAAGAACAGTTCCCAGTGGGGTGTTACTAAAACGAAGACCCAAAAACGAAGACCTAAGACCTAAGACCCCTTGGACTAAAACGAAGACCCTATGGACTAAAACGAAGACCCCATGGACTAAAACGAAGACCCTATGGACTAAAACGAAGACCCTATGGACTAAAACGAAGACCCCATGGACTAAAACGAAGACCCCTCGGACTAAAACGAAGACCCCTTGGACTAAAACAAAGACCCCATGGACTAAAACGACTGATGCTAACCGCTGAGGGCAATGCCCGCTCCCGTAATTTGTTACGGCAATTTGGGAATGTTGTGGAATTTCCTCTGTGATAGTCAAGTCTATCACTTACCTTTCCATCAGGTTTCTTTGCGGAAAATATTTTGCATGTTTTAAACCTCTTTGGAAGTGTTTACGGTGAAGATGACGTCAGTTTATTTAAATCAAAGCTTTTTGCAGGGTGAAGGCGAGAGGGCCCTCTTGTGTTGTGTGGTTATAATGCGCGTGTGGCTATAATGCGATTGGCGTGACAAGCCCAAAGGTCATCAGCGTGTTCATGGGAGGCCTAGACAATCAAGAAGGCTTTTGACAGGATTTGTCTTGAAGACTTCCGCCAAACGTGTTATGGGCGCGTAGTTGGGGTTTGAGGGAGGAGGAGGTCCATTCGCTTTCTGATATTTTATGGTTCAAAATTCATTGTCGGATGATTTGGGTGTCATCCCGGGTGTAATGAGTTAAGAAAATATAACCGCGCGCTCCAGCTTTCTAAAATATCGAAGAATTGTATCAATGCATTTAAAAAACAAAGCAGTGACAACACGTAGTACAGGGAGGGAATTCCTCATTGACGAATTCAAGGACAGAGGTACCTCGCGCTCTTTTTATTACTTTTTACCTCATCAATAGGGGAAAGAAAGCCTTCGATCTAGAACATTACTCGAGTACAGGTTTACATTTCGAGTTTCATTTAAGCGAGGTTCATTTGTCTTTATGCCGGGTTTTATTTGTTTTATTTATATCCCTGTCATACGCTGTCACGATATTCTATCCTCTATTGTTAAAAAATGACTAATCTTTACGGCTTAAACAGTTGTTTTTCTGATAACTGTGATAAAAAAAAAATAATAATAATAAAAGAAAAAGAAGGAAAAAGACAAGGAAAAAAATCGCATGTTCGACGAGACTCGAACCTAGGATCTTTGTTCCAACATTATGGTTTTACCACTAGGCCACGAGGGCACTCTCGCCTTCACTCTGCAAAAAGCTTTGATTTAAATAAAACTGACGTCATCTTCACCGTAAACACTTCCAAAGAGGTTTAAAACATGCAAAATGTTTTCCGCGAAGAAACCTGAAGGAAAGGTAGGTCATAGACTTAACTATCACAACTAAATACTGCAGAGGAAATTCCACAACATTCCCAAATCGCCGTAACAAATAACGGGAGCGGGCATTGCAGGCATTGCCCTCAGCGGTTAGCATCAGTCGTTTTAGTCCATGAGGTCTTCGTTTTAGTCCATGGGGTCTTCGTTTTAGTCCAAGGGGTCTTCGTTTTAGTCCATGGGGTCTTCGTTTTAGTCCATAGGGTCTTCGTTTTAGTCCATAGGGTCTTCGTTTTAGTCCATGGGGTCTTCGTTTTAGTCCATAGGGTCTTCGTTTTAGTCCATAGAGTCTTCGTTTTAGTCCAAGGGGTCTTAGGTCTTAGGTCTTCGTTTTTGAGTCTTCGTTTTAGTAACACCCGTTCCCAGTGCCGAGAAATACGGCTGCAAGTAAAAAAAGGCGAACGGCGTCATTTCGTTGCTGTGACAACTCCGATGTCATGGTAACCTGATCATAACAAAATTTTCCTCTTTATCTAATACAGCTGTGGTGAACAATATTTCCAAATCTTTAATTACGCCCAAAATTGGCAGGTATTGACCCTGAAAACCCGTATCGAGCCACCTTAAGGTGTAATATGAATTCCCTTTGAATTCGCATCAAGTTGGAACGATTTTTGAGGGATATTTTTTTCAAAAATATACTTAATACGTGCAATTGTTATCGCGATTATCTTCAAGTGTTCTAGTGGTTTCCAAGAGCTTTAACTTTTAATGAAAGATGAAAAATCTCAAAAACGGCACGCAGACAATATGAAAAGAGTTTTTACTGACAAACTGAACGTTACTGGTATAGCAGACTAGAATTAGCTCTTTTGCTGGCGCACCGTCAGTAGTCAGTCTCAAAGTGATCCGGGAGAGCTGAAACGAAAAAAAAAATGAATGCGGACAAAGCGGTGATCGCGTCGAGTAGCGAAAGCTCGGAGTTTGTAAGTCGTGGCTGTAATTCCCCTTATACAGCAGTGTAAAGCCCCACATCAACTACAATAATATTGCTATTGCAAAATACTACTGGTTCCGGTTGATCAAACGCTGGATAGTGCTATCCACCGGATAAGTCGCTATCCAGAGGGATGGGCTAGGGAAATCAATTGCGTTATCCACTGGATAGAGATTTATCCAGTGGATAGAGTTGTCCACCTTTCGAACAACTGGGGCCTGAAGAACAGCATACAAAGAATGTGGAAAATAAAGGCGGAGTGCGCTGAAATCCTTGAGCGCTCCATTCAAAACCAATATCTGAGTTTTATTAAACTTAATTAACCTTGTTACCCCGCTCTAGCTCTGACAAGGTGGATCAGACATGCAAGGTACCCTAGAAGGAGAAGACGAGCTTCTAACCCTAACTTGAGCTGCTTAAGGCTCAAAACATTGCATGCTAAGCACAACTCAGACAACTGACTCAAACTCGATCATGAGCGACGGAACGCAATTATTTATTGTCTTATTTCACTTCATTGTCCACTTCGTTCACCACCGCGATGGTGCACGACATTACCAAGATCACTTGTTACAATATATATTATCACACTGAAGTTTGCACCCCGTTGAAAGGGTTTGTGTCTCGAGGATACTGCTGTTTTTAAGGAAATTCTGTGTTAAAACAAGCTTTATCCTCTCTTGGTTAAAACCGTTACTTTGCACCTTCACCTATACACAAAATGCTGTTGTAGAATTATAAAACAAATTTCAACCGATCATTTTTTGGTGCTTTTTGCAGCATGGCATATATTTGAAACCTAAAAGAACTGCCCAGTTTTTTCAAGTTTCAATCTATGCCCATCCTCGGTATCCTTGCCATGCGTTGCAACTCACGACAACCTTTTTTCGATGCTCAAAAATAATTTTCAATAACAAAACCGTACCACTATTTTTTGGAATTCAATTCAGTGATGTGCAGGAAACCCGTATTCACCTAGAATTCAAATTCAATTGCGTGACATAGGCCCCGGATCAACACTTAAACCTCACGCTTCTCGTATTAGCTGGTTTGAACAAGCCAATACGCTGAAACGGACGTTTTTGCGCTTTTTCATCCTAATTGTCGCATTCAACACTGTGGTGGCCGGCCGTAAAGTGGTGTTCTTTAGTGATCGCTTAAAATAGTTTTACGAAGAAAGCTGAAATCACGGTACTAGTCAGTAAACTGCGAAGATAACAGGATGAAGTGTTTTGAAAAGGAAGTCAACATGACGGTAAAACTAAAAGCGTGGCTTGGGGGTTGTTTTGGATTGCAGGCACGCTACCTTCAGCGCAAACGTGATCCATCATGGATCGTCCGTGACACATAATTTTCCTTCTGAGCTGAAACACCGCAAACAAACAGACTAGCCAGTCCTTGAGGAAGTTATACCTTTTCCATAAATTAGCCCGTTATTCCTTACCAGACATCATTCTCGTTCAAGATCACATGCAGTGAAAAAGCAGAAAGGAAAGCTTGCAGCCCAGCCAGAAGCTTGAAATGTCAGCCATGCCTGGTGTTCCGCGATTTTACCCACTGTTTTCCCTGTTCCTCATCCTCTCATTCATCAGCCTGATGCAGCAATCCGCGGCTAATGGTAGGTTTTTTTTTTCTGCATTGGGCACTAGGCAGCGCCGATAAACGTTCCGAAAATGACAAAACTATGAAACGATCATTCCAAGTGACGCAGGGCATCAAACAACCTCAACACTTCGTAATGTAGACGTGTTTTTATCTTAAATTTAAACCTCTTTCTCTTAGTTTCTACCTTTTACGATCAATTTACAGTATGCTTAATTTTATATTTAATCGTTTTTGCAACCTGTTTTCATTTTTAATCAATATAAAGTGCATTTTCATCTGTGAAATAAGCAAAACCAGCGACAAATTCGGTGTCAATGACGCCCAACGATTGTCAAGGTAACAAGGAGAAAAAACTAATTAATTGCACGATTCTAGTACGAGACTAGCATCGTTCACATGACAATGAGAGCAAAAATGAATTACTGGACGAGTTCATTCCAATAGCAGTCGAGAGTATGCAAGTCTTAAGCGGGCTCTCTTGACTATCAACGAATATTTAATTATTCTAACTCTCACAAGAGATCGTCTTTAATTCTTACTATAACGCTGAAACGCGGGCAGACGAGAAATAAGCCAGCGTTCACAGGGTATCTGCAGATAATTATTGACCTCGTTTATTGATCTTATTTTAGGTTTCCCGTCAAAAACGGACACTGCCAGAAGACTTGCTAAAAACCTGCCTTTCCTGCGTCGAAGTCAACCATCTTCTAATAACCCCTTTTCTCGACTTCCAAGTCGTTCGAGGCCAGGTGGTAACAATCGTCAGACCGCTGGTACCAAATTGATGTCCTGGTCGGGCCGTGACCTTGGTTCGCCGCTGTACGATGTTGTCTTCATCATCGACGAATCGGGCTCCATTCCTCTTGATCAGTTCAACAGGGGCTTGAGCGCAATAAGACTTCTTATCGGGGATGCGTCACTTGGTACAAAATTCGCTGCGATAAAGTTCTCTAATAAGGCCCGCCTTTTGTTTAACTTTGTCTCACCAGCTCAGGCAAAGACGAAATTGTTGAATGTCCCACAAAAAGGAGGATCGACTAACACCCAAGACGCTCTTAAAATGGCTAGAGATCTTTTCCTAAATCCGGCAGCCTCGGGGCACAGGCAAAATGCTTATAGGATGGCAGTGGTTGTAACAGATGGCCTATCAAACGTCCAACCGGGTCAGACCATACCACAAGCAACCCAGCTCAAAGGCATTGGAACAAGAGTTATGGTTATTGCTGTGGGAAATTACGGAGCTTCTGGACGTAAGGAAATGAAGGACATAGCCAGTTACCCTCCCGGAGAGAACCTTTTCTTTGTTGACGACTTTAATGACATGTATCAGATCACGTTTATGGCTATAAATAACATATAAAATGAAGTTCAATGAGAGGGAACCTGAGGGATTAAAACACTAAAAAACTGTGATTTGATTTACATTGCAAATTGGGTAAAAACGGCTTTCACTATCATTTGATAAAGATGTTAGAATATTTTAACCTACAGGACTTTAATCTTGATTTGTTAGATACCGCATTTGTAGGTTTAATAAAATAGCACTATATATCATACTGGCAAATTCATCCCGGCTTCATGATTCTCAAAAACTAGCATTTCATAGATCTTTTAAAACTGATCATACCCCTTCTAATTACCCCAGGGACTTAACAAGAGGAAGAGCTGGGAGAAGGGAATTTGTAAAATTACGAATAAACAATCACAAACTATATAATTATAGAACTTGGTAGATACAATCAAACTATTAGAGATAAAAAGTTTTTTTGTCCTCTTTATGGATCCAATCAAAAAGAAGAAGTTCACTTTCTTTTTCTGCCTGATTGTTCTAAATACGCTGTGATTAGGAATAATTGTTATACAATAAAGTCAAGGCTTATTCCAAATGTTACCCAGTTACTAGTGTATGTTTTGATCAATGAACTGATGAACTCATCTAATTCGGTCATAAGATTCTTATGTTAACCCTCTTAAGTACTAAATAAATAAAAATAAAATTCTTGTTATCATTATTATTATTATAAAATAAAATATCCCTATTTATTGTTTCTTGCCAGTATCATACATACAAAACGTCTAGGTATCCTAAGCATGCTGAAAATGCAATCAAAGATTGGCAAATACTTCAATATTTATTTCTCAACAATTTACCTGCATTAATCATTTTCCTAGCAGGTGGACATTTAAGTCGTAAAATGTACGCAGTGGTAGGAAGAAGTACAGCGACAACAGAAGCAGCAGCCATGGCTTGTATTCCCGTATCACTCACTTCTTCAAGGTGGCTTATTGCTCTGGCACCAACCTCTGCACCTAACTTAAGAAAATTATCAAAATATAATTAAGTAAAAGCAAATGAAAAACTGTTCATAACTCAGGTATTGCTGCATTCAAACACTCACGGGTATATTAACAGTTCAGCTTTGAAAGACAACAAGGAATACAATGATGTCATGTATTTAATCCAGACAGACAGATAGTCTAACCATTCTATCAAACCTTTGTAGATAGCTGTGCGGTGTGTTGCTGATAATACCATCAGCCCTGGTGTTGATTCAGATTTCCCTACCCTTTCAAATAGGTGAAATCTTTCAGGCGCAGCCGCAGTTCTACCTTTCTTAAATGGTCGCTGCCAAATTACTCTTTTCTATGCCCTAGTCTTCTGAATGGATTGAATTACCTAGTCATCGCTTAGATTACTACGTTACTCTTTATTTCTGAGCGAACGTCAAGTTACCCGCAGTCCGATAAAGTTACAGAATTTCACTTTCAAAGACAACGGTATAAAACTCGTTATCAGCGACTTAACAAAATTTATCCAGCCCTTCCCTGCCGCGCAAATGCATAGTTCCAGCCGTCGGCTGTAAGTCTTTACCCGAAATGCACAGTTTAACAGACAAAGCAACCTTCGAGCGACTGACACTAGATAACTTTCTTTGGGAAACTTCTTCATCTACAAAAGATGAACTCACTAAAGTATGCGCGAAAATCCCCAAACTTGTAGAGAGTGCGTTTGCACGTTTTCTCTTGAACCGCAGGATAAGAGTTGATATGTCTCGCTATGCAAGCACACCCCCCCGGGGGGGGGAGGGCTACTTGGGTCAATTTTTGCTGGGTATGTGCCGCTGGCCTCTTAGAGTCCCTACCCCATTATAGCCTATTCGGTGGCCAATTTTAGACCCCATCTCAGTCACTTTTGGGCAAAGATCTAATTTTTGCGATCCCAGCTTAGTCACTTTCTATTTATGTATCTACCTTATATTGAATGAAGAACACTCTAGTTTTCAGCAACAGTACAAACATTCTGGTACGTTTGCTGACTTCTAATATGAAGAACTGTCTTACCCCAAAAATCAGAATATGTGTGACCCCATTCTAGTAACTCTATTGAAAATGCGACCCCATTATTGTCACTCCAGTCGTGAAAATGCGACCCCACCCAGTGCACATCCCCATTAGCCTCTTATAAGGAAGTAACCTCCCCGGGGTACACCCCCACCAAAACTTTAAAGGTTATACATGGAAATCAGTTTCACCGCATGTACTCTTATAGCTATACTTCCATGTCCTTTCCATGAAAATCTACGTAAAGGTACATGGAATTTTTAAAGTATCCTTTATGTTGTCTTCATAAAGGAACTTCTCAAACTCATTAATAATTCATAGAGAAAATTCAAAGGAAATTAATGTTTAATGACTGTTTGGATATCAGATGAAAAACTGCTCATTTTTGCATCCTTAATTTCTCCTTCAAAAATGATTTTGTTTGAGAAGAAATATCAAACATTCGACACAGTGTTTCATCACCAGATTAAACACCTCGAAGTTCGTCAAAAATACTCCGCTGCGCGTCGTATTTTCAACTCTCTTCTCGGTGTTTCATCTGGTGATGAAACACTGCGTCTCATGATTGATATATTACATGAAAACTGCATGTACCTTTACCTTTACGTACATATATCAGTGGAAAATACATGGAAATTTTCATGTTCTTTTTCAACTTAAAATGCCGTTTCTTTTATCATCTCTAAGTATTACTTTTCTGTTGATCTGCAGCCAGAAAATATAACTATATGAACTTCTTGGAAGAAAACTCTGCTCTAGGGACTAAATTTTACCAGACAAATTAAGCAAAACGATGGTTAAAAGCTTTATTGTTAGAGTAATGCTTCCATAATTCAACGAACGTTTGGTAATGATTTTTTTGAAGTTAACTTTAAAGTAACGTGTTACAACTAGCAAATTACAAGTTTCTTGCTTATATTACAAGGCCAGAATTATAGTCCTCGACAGACTGTTAACTAATTACGGTGATCTTTTGTGTTACACGGCCTTTGAAGTTAATCCAAAGGTCGGATCGAAGTAGACATGCTTCACACCATACAGTGGTAACAGGATCAAGTGTACGATATGACGAGGTCAACATGATGGCAAACTAACCATGAATATGGCAACATACTCAAATCAAAGTGGCTGAGAACCACAAAACTCAGAAAAAATTATGTTGTTAGTAAAATCTATATACTAGGTTTTTAATAAAGTTTTTGTTTATTTTTTAATGATTATCTTGATTTTGTTTTTGAAAAATCTATGTATTTTCCTGTTGTTCTGATGATTCACACGATCTTTTGAGGCAACATAACATAACACGAACTTTATTTATACTCGAATTTCAGAGTAGCCTAAAAGGCTAACATCTTCGAGAAAAAAAAATTTACATACGTAAAATTAATCTATTTAAATGCATAAAAATCTATTTACATATATGAAAAAATGTTAAATATACCGTTATGTCTGAAAGGAGATTGCTTTCAGGAGTCTTCTAAAACCAGATAAAAAGTAGGCTCAGATCCTACACTGTAGGCGGAGTTCCATTGCTTAGATGCAAAGCTAAGTATAATAACGAAAAGAGTTGAGGCCATAAGTAGTAGTAGCAGGTTTACATGGTGATAAAATATTAATTATTCTAGAAGAGCATAAAAATTGACGCAAAGTAAGCATTTCTTTAAGATATTTAGGAAAACTTTCATAGTTCAAACATTCGTAGAGCGAGATTAACATATTTTGTATCCTTCGGTTGTGGTACAGAAGGAAACAATCGCATCAGACCTTTGAGCATAGAGTTGGTCCTACTGAATTACCGTAAATGCTTGAATTAGCGCCCAGCTTCAAATAAGCCCCCCGCTTCGAATTAGCACCCCTCCTAAGGCTCAAAATTTGTATATAAGCGCCCCCCTTCAAATAAGCGCCCCCCCCCCC